GTATGTTAGAGAATCTTATTGAATCATGTGATTTGTGTGAAATTGATTGAGGGGAATGCATGGGATGTGATTGAATTATGTTGGGCAATGTCCCCTTTGCTTGTTTGCGCCCTTGTGTGCAAGAATTTGGCCAACTTCATGCTTAACTTAATAGTGCACACAAGGTGTTCGATGAAATGCCTGTTTTCCATGCCATGTTGTGGCCGTCGGTTGGGGCCCTTAATGATGTCGTTTGAGGGTGTATTTGCTATGGATGTGAACCTTGAGTTGCCTATTTTCTTGTGAATGTGCACCCCCACCCAGATTATGCTTGATTTATCGAGTTTTTGACCCCCGAACTATGGATGAAACCATGGTTCGGCTGCTTTCTGTTCTTAAGTGTGGGGGTGGGCTTGACCTTTTCTTTGGCTCTTTTGGTTCCACTTTGGGTTGTTGTTTTGCAGGGCAATGGCACAACCTAATTTCCAGCACCCATTCATCCGGGATCTCAGGAGGGGCTCCACCGCAGAGCGCTTCAAGAAGGTCGTGGAAACCCCGTTTGGCGCCCACCATTGCTGGTCCAAACGGGAATTTCGGCGACTACACTGCTACGAGCAGATTTCCGCCGTGGTCGCCAACACCGCATGGCGCCGTTTGCTCCAGATCTGCGAGACGGTCTACTACGAGCCGGTGTGGGAGTTCTACACGACTTTCAAGCACAACTCCACGACCAGATACCATGACAGTACAGCCGTCCAATTCAGGCTGGGCGGTGTTCCCCGGTCCTTGAGTTACCACGAGCTGGCTGAGGCTCTCGACCTCGACCTCGACGACCGTGTGAACTACGTCACCGAGGTTACTGAGCCACCAGAGGTAGACTTCAGGAGGCTGTACACCAGCCTGGCTCAGCCTGGCCAGACGCGTCCTTTCAAGTCTGGGAGGACGAAGGCATCTACCCTGCAGATCGAGTACCGACTTCTCCACCACCTGCTGGCGAAGTCTTACACTCCTGCATCTGACAGCGCCGGCGCCATCACGAAGAGGCCCCTGTACTTCCTCGATTCGATCCGCCAGCGCCGCCATCCTCTCCACCTGGGTTCGGTGGTGGCCAAGACATTCGAGAAGACGGCCACAGAGCTGAAGAGCCTCCACTGCGCCCCCCTCATCACCCGCCTGGTTACCTTCTTCGGCCTCTCACTGCAGGGGTGCACCAAGGAGGGGGAGACCCCCATCTTTGGCAGCGCGACGATCGGGAAGATGCTGTTGTTGCGGGAGAGGAACGGTGTTCAGTGGGTCGAGGGATTTCCGGAGCCTCCTATCCCCGCGGAGCCCGTACCAGAGGAGGAGGCTGCCGATGAGGTGGACCCCGAGGAGGTGGATGCTGCTGCTGATGCTGCTGATGATCCCCCACAGACTGACTTCCATTTTGGGGGTAGCAGCTCCACTTTCCAGGGCCAGGACTACTTCACCCAGCAGTTCGAGCAGCTGAGGATCCAGAACCAGCTGCTCCTCGACCAGCAGATGCAGTTCCAGCAGCAGTGCGCGGCAGATCAGGCCGAGTACCGGCACAGGCTGGACACGATCCAGACTCAGCAGGGCGTGACTCTCGCCCATATCGAGCGGGAGAAGCGCCGTTCCCGGCGCATGCAGGAGGTTCAGCAGCACCTGCTTCAGCTGATCCCGGGCGATCCACCTGTCTGGAGGACTCCCTGGGATGACTCCCCTCCACATGATGGTGCGGCTGGCGCTGCTGATGATGATGCGTTCATGAACGACATCGATCTCGACGATCTTGGCGACGAGTAGGCTGTACTCGTTGCCCGTCTCAGTGTGTTTGTTTTTTTTTTTTCGACTTTTGTGTGTTTGCTCCATGTGTGCGGAGCTTGAACTTGGTGTCGTTTGTTTTTGTTTTTGGTTTTTCCTTTGTGGTTTGATGTAGCCGTCTGGGCTAACACTTATCCCTAACGCCAGTGTGCTAGTGTTTCTGATGTTCGCTTTGTGCAGCATTGTCCACTCCCCCGTTTGTTTCTCGCTGACTGGTCCACTTCCAGTCCCCCAGCAGTGTTCTTACCCGGTAACATCGTTCCCCTTATCTTTCCCTCTACTCCATTGAGGGCAATGTCGTGCTTAAGTGTGGGGGGATGCTTTGTATCGGTTGGAATATTTATGATGGTGCTTGGAGCCTAGTCCGCTGTCCGAATCTTACGATTTGAGGGCTCCAAGTACTGCTGTTTGATCATATTGGCACTGTGTTTTGATGGATGAATTGATTGGTTTTCGGATTAATGCATGACAACTTGTTTGCGACTAGGACAACCTATGATGAGGACTGAGATGTGCAGTAGAACGATGTAGGGGTTCAGTTTTTCAACTGTTTGCTTGCCAACTGTGACTTGATCTGACTTGATCTGATTATTTGTTCTTGACAGTCGTTTATGCATCTAGTTCAGGGTATCAGAATGTGAGATAGAGCATATAGGTAGCCCTGTGAGATTTGAGCCTGCTCGTTTCTTTCTTGTGCGATAGATCCCTCTTCCATGATGTGTAGCATTCACGTTGTCACTAGCTGAGATGATGGGGGCATAGGATTAGCCCACGCCCAAAACTGACTGTCCTGATGTGTCATACCCCCTAGTCAGCCCCTTTGAGCCGTGTGTTATCCTTTCTTTTGGTCTATAATGGAAAAAAATTCACCCTTGTTGCATCTTTTAGAAGGTTCCACAGAGCGGTTTTTATATATTCTCTGCTGTTTCTGCTAAAGTCTATGTGAGTGTTGGAGGTAGTGCTTAAAGGTTGGGCAGGTGTTTGAAATATGTGCAGAAGTGGTGGCTCTCTTAAGAAATGAAAAGAAAAATAAAAGAAAAACAAAGAAAAATTGAAAGCAAAAGAGAGCCACTACCAAAAATCTGAATAATGCCCAGTAAGTAGTGTTTCTTAGCAGTCTGGCTTGGAAATGCTGATGTTTATGCCTCCTTCGCTCTTGTGCTCGTAAGATATTGAGTAATGCAGGATAGCAGAAAGAAAATACCGGGTTGGTTGACTGTGATTGTGTGTTTGGAAAATGTGGAACCTTTTGCTATGAATACTTCCACCACCTAAAAGGCCTTTTCCCCATGTCCAAGACCCTAGCCAGTCATTTGAACCTGTGTCTAAGACCTCCTGATTAGTTAGTGGTGACACCCCATATGTGAACTCTAGCATTTAGAGGCTGCCATCATGGTGAAGAGATGATAGGTATTGAGAGAAATAGCATGCGCATCTTTCGCATCAAAATTGTCCTGACCCCACTGGTCGAGAGTGAGTGATTCATTTTCATTTTCTATATGCTCTTGTACCCCGGTGAGGACCTAGATTGCTCGGTCTCTATTCTGATGTCTTGAGTTGGATGCATGAGTTGACTGTTTTGAGTAAGTGGTTGAATCAAGTCTAGGTTGGCCAGTGAACAGAAGGGAGACTCTTCCTTTACTCGATTTGCTGCACTCGAATGTCCTTTGTGGTGGTTTTCCAGGTTGTTATTGAGGTTGTGCATGTATTGATGTTTGAAAACCAGTGCGATTCACGTGTTCTGTGCCTTTATGACTTGTCCCCAATGTTGGTTGATTGAAATATGTAAGTTTACCTAGTGTCTGACTTGGTTTGCTTGGGGACAAGCAAACGGTTAAGTGTGGGGGAGTTTGATAGACTGTCATTTACACATGTTTTTACCCTCATTCTTACACCGTTTGAGGTGTTGATTCTCGTGTTTTGGGCCGATTTCACGCTAGGTTGTGCTTGTTTGTGATATTTCAGGTCCTAGTACGTGAATGAAGGCTTAGGAGCGAGTCTGGGGTCGATTGGACGAAGAACGGACGAATGGCGAGCTTTTTGGGGAGCCGCACGGCCAGACCATGGAGACGCACGGCCGTGCAAAGTGCAATTATGGCCGTGCGCCTCTGGCCGAGGACATGCACGGGCTGGCCGGGATCCTTGCACGGCCGTGCACCTGGCCGTGCAAGAAGGCTGAGATCGAATTAAGTGAAACGGCGCGTTTCAGGGTGCACGGCCAGAATGGTGTTGTGCACGGCCGTGCACCTGGCCGTGCAACTCGGGGAAACCTGTTTTAAAGCCTAATCCGAGCCAGAAGTCGGAGAATGGTGTTTTGAGAGCAAAAACAGAGCCCTAGAGAGAGAAAGTGCGAAGAACACATCCTAGAAGCTGTCTTAGAGCTGGATTTCATCGAATCGAGCCTGGAGATCGTCATAGGAGTGAAAATCATCGTCCCGGAGCAGATTATCCTTATCGTTATGAGTATGACTAATCCGATTCTTGTTTTCTCTTCTCTCTCTATGGAGTAGAACCCTTCTCTCACTTGGGTATGAAGAACCCTAGTTCCTTGTGTTAGGGATTTGATTGTAATGACTTGGGATGATATTACTGTTTGATTTTAATCGAATGATGCATGTTTATTGAATTGATTTGAGTCTGATCAGCTTGTCTCAATTTCTGCTTCAACCTGAGATAGATAGAATCTGATTAGGTTGTTAGAGCCTCTTCATTCGATAGTAGGAGATTGGTTATACGAGAGTTAGCCAGTTTACTGCTTTGTACTGGTGTTCTTGGCGCCAGTAGTGGAGTTCTGTGTTCATAGCCTCAGCTTTCTATCCCGGTGAAGACTAGTCGTCTGCCGGGTAGTTAGACTGAGAGGGCTTGGTCAGCTTAAGAGATTCCAAGCTACTGTCGGATCTTCCGCAGTCTAATCAACAGTAAATCAACCCAGGGAATTGCAATTGAACCTAACTAAGGGGCTAGGGGGACTCAATCCCGAGTGACTCTTGCCTGTTTTAGAAACCCGAATAATTTACTGCTTTCTTGTTGCTTTTACTTTTCACAACAATCACTCGAACTAGTTTGCTAGATAATAGAGAATCACGGAGTAAGCAGTAGATCTAGACCCCGGGTTGATAATTAAAATTGCCTGTAACTGCAGTCCCTTTCATTGGTTACACTTGGCCATTGTTAGGTGTTGTGTTTTAGCGTGTCACCTCTACTCCTATGGAGGTTTCTCTAGAGAGCTCCCCGACTATGACTACAAGCTACGACTATGATCTACGACTCTGCAAAAGGATTCTTTGACAGAGCGGTTCTACGAAACTAGAGAGAAAAAAAGGATAATTCAGCGATGGCAGTGGCGGATCCAGGGGGTGGCCACCCCGGGCCCCGGCCCAACCCTCCCCTGGATCCATAGTTAGTATAGGCCTTATGAAATTTTCGATTTTAGATATTCGGGTCGTTGTTATTTTAAAATAAGATTGGGTATAATTAGAAAAATAATTCAGATGAACATATTCAAAACCTCTACTCTAAATTTAGCTTATAAATTCTAACCTCAAAGGTTATTCGTCTAAAAAAACAATGAAACTTAAAAATTCAAAAAGTTTAAAACGTAAAAGACTAAAACATATATGAGGTTTGTTACCTTGGAAAATTTACTAGAGCAGCTGGTGGATATAGGGATGGATACACAATGCAAATTGATTAGTAGATTGATTTGTCTAGTGTTGATGCTGCTCGTTTCAACAGCTAATACGAATAGAACCTTTTCAACAATGAAACATGTGAAACTTGATTTGTGCAACAAAATGAGCGATGGATTTCTAGTCGATTTCTCAAATATTTTATTTGAAACAGTGTATACTATTGGTATGGATGTGGACTCCATTATTAATGCATTCGCTAAATTAAAATACCGTCGTGTACAATTTACATTGTAAAAAAATTATAATCATTATATTTTTTTACTATTCTAATTTTCTAATAAAATGCGGCCCGGTGCACTTCTGTGTTCTGGATCCGCCGCTGTGCGACGGTGCAGTTTGAGATTTGATTTTGTCGTATCGAGCTTCTCTCTCTTCCTGATATTTATACTCCATTCTTCTTTCTGTAGCCAGCAATCGCCTCCTCTCCGTCTTTGTCTCCCATATCCTTCATCTCTCACAATCGTGCGGGTAACTTCCTCCACATGGCGTGATACTCACGTGCACACGAAACTGCTTCGCTACACGGAAACTAGGCAAAACGACACTGAGCCATACTCTATGGCTCCCCACCATGGTTCGATCCTCACAACAACCTTGTCCATCAAATAAACAATGATGTCACTTCACTTCCACAATGTGACTAAGCGAGCCACCTTTCTTCGTCGTCGTTGTGGCAAAAAAAACTCGTTATCTTGTGTTCTACGTGGTTAGGGTCATCATCCACATCACCTCATCGCCGTGCTCAGGTTTACAACATTGGTGAGACTTTAATAGGCTAACGACAAGGTTGGCCCGATGGTGATAAAACCACAAGCCACTGGGACAACATTGTTCTTTATAGAACAATTTCGTTGCTAGGATCTACGACACCGCCATACACACGATTGAGCCATGACGTTGTGTGCCTAGCACACTTGCTCCATGATCAAACATGCTTACCCGTCGAACTTGCAACATTGTTTGGTAGCTTGCAACCTCGCGGCCTAGTCGACCTTATTGGACCCAAATCATCAATGTCGTGGAACACTGGCTCTACCATCGCCTCTTTCCATTAAATCTCCAGCTCATCAAGTTTGCTGCCTCGTTGGAGCTCGACTCTTTCTCTTTGTGGCCAAAAACTTGACCACGCCGATGCAAACATCAACCATCACTACTCCTTCCATGCGGCAACGTCAAGCTCGTGGCGTCGAGCTCTCACTGCCTATGCTAGCCCGACCACGTTTGTTTATACGACCATCATCGTTATATTTCTCCACGCAAAGCCGTTTCATTATACTGCAGCCTCGTAGGCTGCAACTTCTCGCGATTTTGCTAATACGGAAAATCCCCCACGGTGTTGCGAGAGGCATCAATTAATCAATACCGTTTTTCGGCGTAAGTTGGATCCAAATCTCTCGAATTTGTTTTAGACTAAACAATGTCGCTTCTTGCACTCCCCCAACATAACCTACGTTGTTCTTAGCTAAACAACAACGCTTCCCTATTCTGCGACATAGTTAAACTCCTTGCAACATTGTTTTGACTAAACAATGTCGTTTGCTACTTCGCGATGTTGTTGGACTTGCAACATCGATCAGACTAGGTCATTGGTATTGTTTACTCCCGATGCCTCCAAAGTTGTGACCCTATTAAATCCAAAAATCAACCAAGCTTGATTTTCTCCATACCGCTATGTTGTCTACTTTGAACTCGCCACAGAGCTCCACGACACTACTTTGCACCAAACAATGTCGTTTCAAACATCGCGACATTGTTTGGCCTATTCCGCGTTGTTTTCTTCCCCAAACAACTTCATTTTCTCTTTACTCCACGACACTGTTTTAAATAAAACACTGTCGTTTTAACTACCGCGGCATCATTGGGCTTACTCGCGGTACCGTTTTAAAATCTGCAGTGTCGGTGGGCTCACTCGCGGTGTCGTTTTTAACTAAACGACATCGTTCAACATAATCAAGAAAAATACCAATTTGTTAAACCGCCGAGTCTCTGCACTTATCCGATATGGTGTTTAATAAATCGACATGCTCACCAAGGCCTCTCGCGTTATTGTTTTCTAATCCGCGGTGTCGTTGGCCTACTCGCGGCACCGTTTTACCCATCCACGATGCTTCTTGTCTCTAAGCGGTGTCGTTTCTCTCCTCTTCCGACAAGGATAAAACAAAAAGCACTCACTTCCAACAACAACACCAGCAATGTCGAGTGAATTTGTAGTCCCGGCTCGCGGCATTGTTTGTTACCAAACAACGTCGTTTCCAGTACCGCGGTGCTATGGGCTTCCTCGCGGTGTCGTTTAAACTATCTGCGACGTTCGACTCCAAACGACACCGCTTTTTGTCATGCGGTATCGAATTAAATGCCAAGACTAATTAATGCAACATTTAATTAACTCATAATAATTTTGGGTGTCAACAAATGCCCCCACAATTTGGTTTATAAGAATTATGAACCAAATTGTTGACAAAATCCGACCCACGCACCCAAAACAGACATTAACTTTTCCTCAAAAGTATCTAATTTCCAAGCAACACCATACTTGTCCAAACTCCCCATAATATTTTGAATTTGGTTTCCACATGCCCAGTCTAGGCCACATGTGGCCACACTTCGCACAAATTGTTTCCCGATAAAATCAAATATCACCGCCGGTGCCGAATTCGTTTCCGGCGGTGTTGATTTGATGTTTCGCGATGGAAACTCTTGCGGTGCCATTTAATCGGAAGCACCGCTGATTGCTGAAATCGAGACGACCGTCAAATATCCACCGGGCGGTGTTGATTTGATCGGTGCAACTGACTTCTGAAAACGATGACGATCGTCAAATATCCACCGCCGTGCGATGTTGATCTGATCGATGAACCTCTGATTTCTAACCAACGCGACCGTTACTACGGTTCGCACCTCTCCAAACTACGTTCGAACGAGGGTGTTTGATTTTTTGAGGAATCTACGCTACCGCTACTCCTATGGAGATTCATGTGGAGAGCTCCGCGACTATGACTAAGACTACAACTATGGAGATCCTTCCTGGAAGGAGAGCTCCGCGAAGGAGTTACAGAGAAACGGTAAAGTTTGAACAGAGTTGATCTGTGTTTATTTTTTTGGTTTTTCTTCCTCCCTCCTTGATCCGGTGATTTTATCTGAAATAACTTGCGTAGTCTTCATGCCCCGTAGAACTGCTTCCTCAACCACTCCATCGTGAACTCCCACGTGTCTTCACTCTTGTCAACCGTGCAGGTAACTTCCTCCCTGTTGAGTAACTCCCATGAGTGCGAAACCGCTTGGACATGCGGAAACTTCGCAAAAATGACACTGAGCCCAAAATCCACAATTGTTAAATTCTCGCCACTGTGGCGTTGTTTTCTATTAAACAAAATCGTTTCAATACCGTGACGGTGTTGATATCTCCCACGATGTCATTTTTGACTAAACGATACCGTCCAAAATAATCCTTAAAATATTAATTAATTAAACCGGCCATCATTGTTGACACGCCGTCAAACTCTCACTTCGCGAAGCTGTTCTTAATTAAACAACATCGTTTTCAAGTTCTGCGATGTTGTTGAACTTCGCGATGCCATTTTAAATTTAACACTATCGTTTTAACTATTGCGGCATCGTTTGGCCTACTCATGACATCGTTTTTAAATTCGCGGTGTCGTTTCTTTCCTCTTGCGGCATCGTTTTCTTATTTTAAACATTGTCGTTTGCTAGTACAGCGGTACCGTTGGGCTTACCCGCGACACCGTTTTTAATTAAACGACACCGCAAACATAGCCAAAAAATATTAATCCATGGAACCGCCGCCAGTCTGCACTCGCATTGGACTGGGCGAATTTTGCTCACTTACCCGATATGGTTTTTAATTAATCGGTACCGCTTATCAAGGCCTCTCGCGGCATCATTTTTAAATCCGCGGTACCGTTTAAATTCTCCGCGATGCCGCTTGTCTCCATGCGGTACCGCTTCTCCCCTTCCAACAAGGAGTAACAATAATAATAATAATAATAATAATAATAATAATAATAATAATAATAATAATAATAATAAAAACTCATTTTCCAAATGCAGCAACGTCGAGAGCAAGAAAAGGCAAGTAATGCCTCGACCAAGAAAGGAGAAGAGGGATCTGGAATTGTGGATTCGAAGGCAGTGATGCTAGCATGCAATGGAGATTTGAAGCAAGCTGCCTGTGCACGAGAACCTTTGATTGTGCTCATGTACAGGGACGTGCTACTCAATCAAGAGCTAGTCCTAGAAATTCCAGCCGAAACAAGAGTGGTGTTGGATGAGTTCGAGGATGTGTTTCCAGAGGAAGCACCGAAGGGGTTGCCTCCTATTTACGGAATTGAGCACCAGATTGATTTCGTGTCGGGAGCTCAAATTCCAAACAAGGTAGCATATCGAGCTAATCCGGAAGAGACCAAAGAGCTGCAAAGATAGATTGACGAACTCATGGAGAAGGGGCATGTTCGAGAAAGTTTGAGCCCGTGTGCAGTTCCGGTGATTCTCGTGCCAAAGAAGGATCACACCTAGCGGATGTGTGTAGACTGCCGAGCCATCAATCAAATTAAAGTTACGTATCGTCATCCAATTCCACGATTAGATGATATGCTTGATGAATTACATGGCTCTATGGTGTTTTCCAAGATTGATTTGAGATCAGGTTACCACCAAATTCGTATGAAGGAGGGAGACGAGTGGAAGACTGCGTTTAAGATCAAGCAGGGTCTATACAAATGGATGGTGAT